GGTCTAATACTTATTTTGTTAAATCCCCGTGGGAATGATATTTTTATACTACTTAATAACTAGTGCACTTGTTAGGGTTATATATTTATAACTATCATTCAACCCCTATATTTTTTGAATTTTCTTTTCTTTGTTCTTTTTTCTTCTCATAAAATGTTGATTTTCTAGACTTAAACATGAAATTTATACTTCTCTTATGAAAATTATGGATAGCTATTAAGGAAAGATGGTTATGGAACCTAGGGAACTACCCTAGGATATATGGTTTTTATTTTAAAAAAAAAATCCATTGCCTAGGCAACAAGAAACCCTCCTTGAGCAAATCGAAGCAAGGTTTGGGGGGGTGGGTTAAGTCACTTGTCTTCTTGAATGACCATTCCCTCAAGTAGGGGAATGCCATCCCACTAGGAATGAAAATCAAAATCTCATTCTATCAACTCTTGATTTGTTTCATAATAAAAATTTGAATGTAAATATTATTATGATTAAATAGATAGAAATACTTGCCCTAATTTGACTTTTTTCTTTTTTGAGAAAAGTCCTAATTTGATTTAGGGAAAATCTATGATGTGGAAAAGACATGGTATGGGAATAGTTTTGACCAATCAAAACCCACCCATGAATTTTGATAAATAACACTTGATTGGCTACCACATATTATGATACCAGTTGATTGGTCAAAATTTTTTCAAATATCATATCTTTTCGATATCAAGTAATGGTTGGGTTGGGTTGATAAATTGCCACCCCTATCTGAGATAGTTTGGGATATATTCGGTATCGTTGTCGTTCTTGAATGATGTTTATACTTGAATTTTGTCTTGGAAAGTTGGAAATCGTAAAAATAGGTCACATTGTGTATCAAACCATATAGCTTACCAAAAAAAATTACTATTCAATTTTCTATCATTATTTAAGATGGCTAAGCACCATTTAACCATTAAGCACCACATAAGACCACAATGGTGACAACGTTTATTTAGAACAAGAAACCTCAATTTGGTGTTCTCTCCAAAAATTGATTTCACATAATCCAAGTGCAAAAATAAATAAATAAAATAAAACAATTCACCAGAAACACTAGTATAATTAGATAAAATCAAAATGCCTATAAGGCATTAGAGGGGAAACGTTTATTTGAAAAAACGACCCCTAGCCAGACATATGCTTGATAGAGGCAAAGTAAAACCATTTTCTATCACTTGCAATTAGGGGTGTCCATAAAAAAATCGAACCGGAAAATGTGGTTAATCGAAACGATCGGTTTGGCTTTGGTTTGGTATTTCTAAAAAATCGAAGGATTGGTTCGATTTTATGTTAACCAAGAAAAAAACCGACGATTAACCAAAACGACTGGTATATATTTATATATATGTATATATATATATATATATTTGTAATATATGTCACATATTATTTATATATTATATATAAACATATATGCATTATTATATATATATAACGGTGGTACCAATTTGGTTTCAATTTAGGGAAATGCCCATGACCTAAGGTAATGAGCATGGGATGGAAATTGGCTTCATGCTCACAAGACTGTACTCACACTATTCACACAGTCCCCTGTAGCCTTATATTAGCAATATCTCCCTATGGAAAAAACCATACAAGTACAGAGATATTCCCAATGCACCATTGTAAAGGCTATGCAAATGGTGTGAGCACAGTCTTGTCAACACTAAAGCCAATCTCCATGAGATGGGACATGTTGTTATAACTTTGGTAAAAATCATCGCACTTACCTGCAGCCACAATGCAACAGTAGCTTTGGCTCTCATAGGGCAGAGTGAGCTTGGATCTGCTCCTCATAGAGGGCACCTCACACCATCCTCACAATGCATTACAGTTATGCATTGGGAACATCTTCCCATGAATGATAACATCATGTATGGGAGATGTTCTCAATGCACATCTGCAAATTACGATGATCTATGAGGTTGGTGTGAGGCATGCTCTGTAAGGAGAAGATCCGATCTTGGGCAAGAGTCCCATATGTCAGACCAATTAGAGGGTTAGTGGTTTAGTAGTGGCAATTGGCAAGATACACATGTAGGCCCATCGGCATTTACTACATGAAGAATGTTTCCATGGACTTGATTTTTAGTTATTTTTTTTTGGTAAAATAGATCTTAGATAAAGCTAACCTAATCAAGAAAGGGGTGTCAATTGGACTGGATTTGGTCCAATATAAATTCATTACAATTAGACTAGGTCCAATCCAGTCCGATAAATACTTTAGACCATTTTGGATCAGTCCAATTCAACATCTAATGAAGGGATGAGAGATCCATCCTATGGACGCCCAAAGATTGCGGAATAAGGGGCGAATTTCAAAAATTTTATCTCTCCCTTCAACTGGGAATCGTATTCCCCATTTAGAAAATCATATTTTCAAGGATCAATCTTGAAC